CTATTAATTTCGATTTCATGAGCATATTTTGGTTACACGTTAAGTATTTTTGTGCTTGATGAGATTCAAAATTTGTTGTATATTCAAGCCCGGCTTTTGTGTAATTTTGGTGATGACCGGAACAGAAATAAAGATATTTTAAAAACTGGCCGTGGCCTCGCGATAAAACTTTCTACAAATGTTCTCTGTTTCATGTACTTTTATTTGATATCTTAGGTATAAGCGTAAAAATAGGGGCTCATACAGTTTGAGAGGTTGTAAAATGCATGACTTGCCTCTATTTTCATGTAAACATTCGAAATTCTTCGACAGCAAAGTAGCAAGTGTTTCAGATCGAATGCACACGGACAGCCCACCAGAGACAATGGCAGGGTACTGAAATAGAACGTCACTAAAAAATTCTGTATGATTAATTTAGATCATGTCCATTTTCAACATAAAACAGTAATTTATTTTGTACAAACATTTGGCAATATTTACACGATTCTGCCTTTTTGTAAACACGCGTTCGTGTATTCCACTCAATTGCGTGACTCATTTTGCTCGCGCATGCTCAGACAAATTTCCCACCTGTTGTGCCGCGCCGGTATGGACCCTGCAAGCAGCGTAACAATATTTCAAATTTAAAGTTTCCAAGTGGAGGTACAGGGGGGATAGTTTAGCCCAAAGTGACGTCACTTGTATGTTACCTGGCACTAAATAATTATGGTTTGTCTCTTCTTACATGTCATACATATCATATGGGATTATAGCTCTATAGAATCTGAGAATTTTAAAATTCCAGAAATAATGTTTTATGTTCACATAGAAAGAAAGTAATGCAGGGGAGCTAGTCATGTGGGGAAAGTGCCCATTAAGTTAAGCCTTGTATTTTAACCATTTAAGGGTAATTAATAGGCCTTGATATATGCTCTACTTTATTATTTTATTATTCTAGCACCAGATTATTTTACTCTATGTCTAACGCCAGACGATGTTAGTTGCGAAATGTTGTAAAATACGGAAAATATAGCCATGTGAAATTAGCAAATTTTCAGTATTTTAGTATTACGTGCGGTAAAAATAACCATTTTTGAGCCGAAAGTAGTTATTTTTACCGCGCATAATACTAAAATACTCAAAATTTGCTAATTTCACAGGTAGTATTTACCATATTTTGCAACATTTCGCAACCAAACCGTTGCATTTTACTAATTTTAGGATGCTCTTTTGAGCTATAATGATATATTTCGACATCCTAGCTGTCTAGATAAAAATTAATCGATAGCTGGAATTGTCTATTGAATTTTGATTTTTTTGTTGACGACGCGCAAGTTGGTTTCACTTTGCTTGGAAGGATGTTGTCATGACATATTGCATATATTATGTGATTTCTTGGAAGAACTGTTCACGGAAAACACTGTCATGTGACTATACCAACAGTGCATGCGCGGTATTGTTTGAATCTATTTCATCCTCATTACGCATGCTAAGGGAAATCCCTGACACCATTGAGATTGAGCAATTCATAGTTGCCGCCATCCTCAAGCATACGCTTCTTTGTGGATTCTGTTGATAATCAGGTTATCAGGTACGTCTAATGTATATCTAATTTTATTGCTATAATCCTATATTGAGTATTGTATGTCTGGCTATGCATGTATCGCTGCATGCCTTAAATTATGCGATTGTAACGGAGCCGGAATTTTGCGCGGGATATAGACAGACTGATGGATTAGATTGTTCATATATTACACAGAACAATGTATATTGAGCTTATCCAAGTCAAGAACTTTGAAATACGAAGTTTTCAAATTGAGTCGTGTAGTCACAAGAAAACTGAACCAAAAGGAATCGTTCTTAGACCTGTACATTGCCATTGGCTATGAAATCCATAGTGGAACAGTAAACAATTTCAATCGTATAGTGGAACAACACATCTGAGAGTTAGTCTGTTTCGGAACATCGTATTTCCGCCGAGGTCCCGAGGAGTTGCAATTTCCCAGTCGCCTATTTGATGTTCGGCTTGCTTATAGTTTTACCGCGCGTTCGCTATATTTGCATTTATGCACGGTGGTTTGATTCATCTATGTTGCATGCACACCTTTTCAAGCCAAGTTAAAACATCGAATATTTCATGAAATTTTTTGGGCCAGCTAAATTGTATTTGTGAATTGTCGAAGTTATAACTGCTGGAATATTTGGAATTAGTTCTTAACATTGTTCGAATTGACGTTTTGTCTTTAGGGGCCGTCGACAAATATAGATTTCGTCCACCGATCGCGGACTTGCCTTGAATCCACGAGTACAAAATAATCAGGACAAAAACTTACTTTTTTGGCTAAAAAATCGTTGGGTTGGTCCGCGATGGGGGAAGGGGTTGAAGCACCACGGAACAAGTCCGCGATCTCGGTGGACGAAATCTATTTGTCAACGGCCCCTTATAATTTCCACTGTGGCCCGGTATTCAAATATATATTGGTAAATTTGTTGCTCGTCTATAATTGACACTGCGTTCTTTTCTTAGGGACACGACAAGAAAGTTCAAGAAAGGCAGAAAGAAAGGACTCTTTATATTTTAGGACAAAGTCAAAAGTAGGGAAGACATGAGCAAGTGAGTGTTTTAATTAAACAGTACCTGAGGGTACCCAGCGGAAGTCGGCACATTTATGTCATGTTATACTTTGAATTAAATGAGCAAATTTACTGGTATATAACGGAAATCTACAGAAATTCTAATTTGGTTTCTCCTACCACAGGGCTGAACTCAGCGGTAACCTGCCCCTGGCGATAGTAACTTGCGATAGTAACTTCTAATTTAATATTTATTTAATATTTGCCAAGACTTGTCGCGTGTGGGTAACATACTTGACATTGCAATTCGAGATTCCCCTTATTACGTTTTCGTAGCGCTTTGCATTGTGGTTATAGTGGTATCATTGGTATTCAGGATGGCTTATTTTTTGTTCTGACCCGTGCAAGAACTTTTAAAAAAGCTAGGGTCAGGTTCGCGATAGCCAACAGCAAAATATTCGCGAAAACATTCAATATTTTCATTCGAGGCCGCTATCTTTATCAGTGATACCACTATAACCACAATGCAAAGCGCTACGAAAACTAATAAGGGGAATCTCGAATTGTAAATCCTTTCTAACAACCCCGTCAGGGCTGTGGTCAGGGCTTATTCATTTCGGGGAGTTTATTGGGCAGAATGGGAGCTTGTTGGGGAAAGGGTTGATAGCGAGGTGTTGATTGATTTTTCTGACGCGCAACTGCAAGGTATGAAATGGTACAGTAAGATATTAAGATTATTAGTAGTTGAGTAGATATTTGTTGACTTAGTTGTTAACCCTAACCCTAACCTGACCTCTTACTCTCATCTGACTGTATCCCTACCGAACTTACCCCTAAGGCATTTGCAGATGATACCCATTACAACAGGAACAGATTGAGCCAAATATAATCTTGAGCATACATCGAAAGTGTACAGATTTGTAAGTTGGTGAGCTAGAAAAAGCAACTCGACTGAAAGCCAAAGACAGGTCTAACCATAGACAATCCAGAAGACATTTTTGTCTTCTGTATTGTCTATGGTCTAACAGAGTTCTTCCGGTGGATCCCCACGCTTCAACTGACAAGAGTCAAAACCATTTTCAGCAGGGTAAAAACCACTGGGATCCCATTAAATTTTTTGCACTTCCTCAAATTTGATCCCTCGGGAACTGACACGTACCGAGTTGTGAAATGCATAAATAATACATGAGTACATATATGGATCAGTGGGCTGTGATGCATGCACCATTATTTTTTCAATCCTGATTCAGGGACTGGGTACGAGTCAACTATCTGATCCGATGCAACACCAGCGCTCGCATGTGCTCGTAGAAATTATATAAATAATAAGCGATGAGGCGTCTTGCATTTATGTAATTGTATTAATTTTATGTAATTTTTATGCCGAATATTACATGAATTACATGCATGCTTGTTGAGCACTTATATTTTTCATGAACTTCTGGCTTGGGTGAATTAGGCAACCACACACTGTGTATAAACGACGTAAGCTATTTTTCTCAATTCTTTTTCATGTTTCGCAGGCAAAGCGAGATGATCTTGAAATCCGGCAGTAAGGTGAGGAACATAGAGGGGACTGCTGATTGCGAGGCACTAGGCTTTGATTCCTGGAAGAAATATTATAAAGGTGCAGGTGGTAAAAAGCGTAAATGGCCAGCACGGTGTCGCATCTCTGATTGTAACAGAGAAGCTACAGATGGAGCTCACGTGGAGTGTAAACGGAGAAGTGGAGAATGGATAATACCAATGTGTAGCAAGCACAACAATCCTAGCAATGAAAAATGGATGAGCGTTAAAAGAAGTTCCACTGTAGTGCGCGCGGTGGACACATGTTGATTTCCCCACACTTGTTATCCCAGTAATTGACAGCAAATGAATGCACTGTGTATGTACTTGTATGTAATCTATCTTGGTAGTTTATCTTTATACTTCAAACTTTTGACGTATTAAAATACTTCGTGCTCGTGTTCCCATGCAATTTCTCGTTTCCGCCAAACTTCCGCTCATGTTTCTATAACTCTATAGATTATTAAAAAAAAATTAAAAAAGATAATCAACTTTAGATTAGTGTCAAGTAAAGATTAGATTAGGATTAGATTAGGGTTAGATTAAGATTTTATTAGGGTAAGGTCAACATGTGTCGCGGATTTATCATATTGATAATGTCGGACTTAACAGTTTACTCATATAGTAAATTCAAAGGTGGAGCTCATGCTGGTTTGATCAGGAGTCACATAGTGTCACAAGGGGGAAGGGGTATCACAAGTGGTATCACGTAACGGAGAGCTAGGCGTATAGGGGAAAATGTGTCCCTGTTTATGACAAAACAAGACCGTGCTTGCAAATATGTGTCCCTTAGATGACAAATCAATGTTTTCTATCAAAATATATTGCATACTCCTCCTGACATCACCATAGAATAGGCACTCCCGTTATTCAATGAACCAGCGAGAACCTGAGTGGGAAACTGTTTAGGCCGAGGTTGGATAAGGCATTGAAATAGTGTCGATTTATAAATAACGTTTTGAATTTGTTGTTGCATATTAAATTTGTGTTTTGTGAGTTGTTTTTTTGGGGGGTGGGGGGTGGGTGGGTGGTTGGCTCAGAGTCACGTATTTTATGATGGGGTTTACTGCTAGCTCTCATGCACTGTCACAAGGGGGTAGGGAGGGGTAAACAATTGGCAAAACAGCGTCACGCGTATTTTGTGAATGGCCTCTATGTTAATCTTAAATATATATATATATATATATATATATATATATATATATATATATATATATATATATATATATATATATATATATATATATATATATATAT